ATCCAAGAGTCTGTCCATTAGCAACATCGCCGGGTGAGCTTCACTCAGATTACCACGCTTCAATTCCCTTTTGATATTTGATTACAAGATACAAGGAGAAATAACTAAACAACTAAACATAATAAAATGTATTAAGTTAAATACTAATACTAATACAAACTCCAATACTAGTAAAACTTTGCATTAAAAACCTTAAAGTATTCAAATTAAAAGTACACATAATGCTGAAAAAACCCTGTTTCGTGGTGGTTTTACTTTCATAGATTGTTGGATAGTGTTATATTTTTGTCTAACACTACAAAACTTGATGCATGGTTATAACGTCAATAGAGTTATCATATCTTTAGGTTGTCTCTTAGTCAGAAGGACACTTGTGTTTCTAACGTCTGCCATTATGTTTTATTTAATATTTCTATTTCTCCCTACAGTCCGGTGTTTGACGACATTCCCATCCGAGGCCTGCGGTATCTCTCCCAGTCCACTGACTCTCTGAACAGAACCAACCAGGTCACTGAGTCCATGGAGTCGCTCACTGACGAAGGTACACACGCACGCACACACTAGGGGTGTAACGGTACAGGTGTGTACCGAAGTGTACCGAACGAATACAACGTTAAACGTAAAACATTGAGAACGTGAACAACTTCTTTTAAGTAATCTCAGGTGAGCGTCGCAGCATTCAGAGTAATTTGCTCACATTGGGTTCAACGCCTCATAGAGCGAGCAAGTCATTTCATTGGACGAGAGGCATACTATGAGAGCTGGTCAGAGGGATGCGTTCAAATGTAGTCAGTAATTTGAGGAACTGTCTAAATGGCGAACGCAGATAAAGTTGAGCTCGAAAATCCTCCAGCATCATTGAAGTCTCCGGTTTGGGAACATTTTGGTTTCGCAGTTACGAACAAGGATGACGGACAAAGACAGGTGGACCGAACCAAAGCTGTTTGTCGGCATTGTTCAACTACAATTGGTTACGCGGCTGGCAATACATCAAAGTTGCACACTCTTGAAAAGGCATCACCCGAACGTGAATATCACCGGTACCAAAAGACTGAAGTGCAAACCCAACTCCCACTAGCATGTAAGCCTCCACCACTCGCAGAGAGTTCAGACCGAGCCAAAGCTATTACAAACGCCAAATATCCTTATGTTGCCATGTTAGCAAAGCGCTACCTGGCTGTGTCTGCTACCTCTGTCCCTAGAGAGGGTGTTCTCCACATCAGGAGACATTGTTATTGCCAGCAGATCTGCCCTTTCAGCAAGCAATGTGGACAAGTTCATCTTTCTTTAAACAACATGAAAATACAATGACAAGCAAGTCCTAATGTAAAACTCGCTGCTTAGGTGCTAGTACAGTTCAAATACAGATTATTTCAGTTCATCGAAAAGCTGAACCTTAATGTTTATTGTATTATATTTTGTATTTATTTGAGTGAATATTCACAGTTTAATAATAATTTTAAAAAAACAAAACATACCGAACCAAACCGTGACCTAAAAACAGAGGTACGTACCGAACCGAAATGTTTGTGAACCGTTACACCCCTAACACACACACACGCACGCACACACACACGCACACACACGCACACACACGCGCACACTCGCTCTGAGACTCTGATATAACTTTATCAAAGTTTTAACAAAATGTGTTCATAATGATATCCACTTTCCCTGTAATGTTTGAAATTGCACGTCAGTGTATCGCATATCTTCAAATATATAATCTATTGTTATTAAGTAACAATTATTTATTATTTACTGACTGGATCCTGTCTAAAGATATTTATATATGGAATTATGTATTTAATATATAGATAATACAGCAGCTAAAGAAACTAAAACTTTCTCTAAAGTTGTATAAACAAGAATCCTATGCTGTGTAATAGATAACATCTACACCATAGATCTGAACCATGTGTTTTGTTTCTTTAGGGACGGAGATGATGGACGGACAGCTGATGGGGGAGTTCGAGGCGGAGGCCAGAGAGATGGAGGCGGACTCCTGGAGTCTGTGTGCAGAGCAGGAGTATCTGCAGCAGCTGGACAAAGAGCTGGTGAAGAAACAAGACGTCATCTACGGTACAGAGACATGCACCCAGGGTTCTTACGGTCATTGAAAACCTGGAGAAGTCATGGAAATTCAACATGCTAATTCCAGGCCCTGGAAAAGTTATGGAAAACAACATTCTTCCCAAAGTTTTGGAAAAGTCATGGAAATGTAACTAAAGTTGCATCAAATATAATTTATATTTTATCTAATCGCCAAAATAGTAATACTATAATAATAATACATACTGTATCGTGTAGAAATGAAATGTCGAGGTGTTTTGCTGGTGAGAGATTTGAGTAGCTTTAGCGCGTCGAAGCTAGCCTATTGGATTTGTTTTAGAGGCTCAACAAGTTTCAGATGCAGACCTTATCTTCCTGTTCCATGTTCAAATAAACCATTTTCAGTGGTACGCTGAGTCATGGAAAATTAGGTATAAAGGTCATGGAGAAGTCATGGAAAATTAGGTAAAGGTCATGGAGAAGTCATGGAAAATTAGGTAAAGGTCATGGAAAATTAGGTAAAGGTCATGGAAAATTAGGTAAAGGTCATGGAAAATGAGGTAAAGGTCATGGAGAAGTCATGGAAAATTAGGTAAAGGTCATGGAGAAGTCATGGAAAATGAGGTAAAGGTCATGGAAAATTAGGTAACGGTCATGGAGAAGTCATGGAAAATGAGGTAAAGGTCATGGAGAAGTCATGGAAAATTAGGTAAAGGTCATGGAAAATTAGGTAAAGGTCATGGAAAATGAGGTAAAGGTCATGGAGAAGTCATGGAAAATTAGGTATAAAGGTCATGGAAAATTAGGTAAAGGTCATGGAAAATGAGGTAAAGGTCATGGAGAAGTCATGGAAAATGAGGTAAAGGTCATGGAGAAGTCATGGAAAATTAGGTATAAAGGTCATGGAAAATTAGGTATAAAGGTCATGGAAAATTAGGTATAAAGGTCATGGAAAATTAGGTAAAGGTCATGGAAAATTAGGTAAAGGTCATGGAGAAGTCATGGAAAATTAGGTAAAGGTCATGGAAAATTAGGTAAAGGTCATGGAGAAGTCATGGAAAATTAGGTAAAGGTCATGGAGAAGTCATGGAAAATTAGGTAAAGGTCATGGAAAATTAGGTAAAGGTCATGGAAAATTAGGTAAAGGTCATGGAGAAGTCATGGAAAATTAGGTAAAGGTCATGGAAAATTAGGTAAAGGTCATGGAAATTAGGTAAAGGTCATGGAGAAGTCATGGAAAATTAGGTAAAGGTCATGGAAAATTAGGTAAAGGTCATGGAAAATGAGGTAAAGGTCATGGAGAAGTCATGGAAAATTAGGTAAAGGTCATGGAGAAGTCATGGAAAATGAGGTAAAGGTCATGGAGAAGTCATGGAAAATTAGGTAAAGGTCATGGAAAATTAGGTAAAGGTCATGGAGAAGTCATGGAAAATTAGGTATAAAGGTCATGGAAAATTAGGTAAAGGTCATGGAAAATGAGGTAAAGGTCATGGAGAAGTCATGGAAAATGAGGTAAAGGTCATGGAGAAGTCATGGAAAATTAGGTATAAAGGTCATGGAAAATTAGGTATAAAGGTCATGGAAAATTAGGTATAAAGGTCATGGAAAATTAGGTAAAGGTCATGGAAAATTAGGTAAAGGTCATGGAGAAGTCATGGAAAATTAGGTAAAGGTCATGGAAAATTAGGTAAAGGTCATGGAGAAGTCATGGAAAATTAGGTAAAGGTCATGGAGAAGTCATGGAAAATTAGGTAAAGGTCATGGAAAATTAGGTAAAGGTCATGGAAAATTAGGTAAAGGTCATGGAGAAGTCATGGAAAATTAGGTAAAGGTCATGGAAAATTAGGTAAAGGTCATGGAAAATGAGGTAAAGGTCATGGAGAAGTCATGGAAAATTAGGTAAAGGTCATGGAGAAGTCATGGAAAATGAGGTAAAGGTCATGGAGAAGTCATGGAAAATTAGGTAAAGGTCATGGAAAATTAGGTAAAGGTCATGGAGAAGTCATGGAAAATTAGGTATAAAGGTCATGGAAAATTAGGTAAAGGTCATGGAAAATGAGGTAAAGGTCATGGAGAAGTCATGGAAAATGAGGTAAAGGTCATGGAGAAGTCATGGAAAATTAGGTATAAAGGTCATGGAAAATTAGGTATAAAGGTCATGGAAAATTAGGTATAAAGGTCATGGAAAATTAGGTAAAGGTCATGGAAAATTAGGTAAAGGTCATGGAGAAGTCATGGAAAATTAGGTAAAGGTCATGGAAAATTAGGTAAAGGTCATGGAAAATGAGGTAAAGGTCATGGAGAAGTCATGGAAAATTAGGTAAAGGTCATGGAAAATGAGGTAAAGGTCATGGAGAAGTCATGGAAAATTAGGTAAAGGTCATGGAGAAGTCATGGAAAATTAGGTATAAAGGTCATGGAAAATTAGGTATAAAGGTCATGGAAAATTAGGTAAAGGTCACGGAGAAGTCATGGAAAATTAGGTAAAGGTCATGGAGAAGTCATGGAAAATTAGGTAAAGGTCATGGAAAATTAGGTAAAGGTCATGGAGAAGTCATGGAAAATTAGGTAAAGGTCATGGAGAAGTCATGGAAAATTAGGTAAAGGTCATGGAAAATTAGGTAAAGGTCATGGAGAAGTCATGGAAAATTAGGTAAAGGTCATGGAGAAGTCATGGAAAATTAGGTAAAGGTCATGGAGAAGTCATTGAAAATCATTGGTTAAAAAGTGTAAGAACCCTGAACACCCCAAAAGCACCATTTGGAAATCAACCCGTTGATTTCCTCTCGTGTCTCCATGTCGAGTATACTGCAGCTTAGAGCATGTAGAAAACCTTGCTCTCCCTTTTCAATGCAGAAACAGCTTTCTGAAAAGTGACATGCATAGATTTTTATTCGGATTTGCAGAAATGTTGTCTTAAAACTGTAAAAATGCAAATCAACGCGTAGAAATGACAAACACAGCACTTTAGGATTCATAAATACAAACTGGATTCTCCAACAGACGATATGAAAGATATTTAATTGACAGGTTAATAAATAAACTCCAAACTTCCCCTTGAACTGCTTTGAATGTGTCACGAATATCTGATGTATCTAAACTTGCACATTGAACGTCTCTGAGCGCCTTCCAAAAGCTGCTGTAATATAATAATGAAGCTCTTGTTGAAGTAGGCTGTTCTCTGATCAGTGTTTTAATAACTCTTCATGTGTAACTCTGACTGCGTTTAACTTCCTCGCTCAGTAATATCACTAGTTGTTATTCTGTCTAGAGAAGTAGTCTTTAGTGGTGACATTTAGGCCTTTCATTGACCTTCTCACACTGGTACCATCCTTCAAACTGTTTTATGTACAATAGAAAACATTATTATACCGTTTTAATAATAGAGGAAAAAAGTAAAGTATAAATGTAACTCTGACTGAGTTTCACTTCCTCGCTCAGAGCTGATGCAGACTCAAGTAAAGTACAAGTATCTCAAAAAGGTACAGTACTTGAGTAGATGTACTTAGTTACTTCACACCACTGTTGCCTTTTGCCTTTTGTTAAGAGCCTTTCAAAAGCAGCTGTATTATTATTGATGTTACACATGGAGCTGCTGTCCCATTTCAGACTTGATCCGACCATGAAAGTGTTATCGTCTCGTGTAATGACGCTGTTCAGACCTGCTTAAATAAGTTTGATAACCCTTCGTATGTAACTGGGTTTCCCTTCTCTCTCAGAGCTGATGCAGACGGAGCTGCATCACATCCGCACGCTGCGCATCCTGTCGGAGGTGTACAGACACGGGCTGCAGAAGGAGCTGACGCTGGAGCTGCAGACGGTGGAGAGGCTGTTCCCCGTGCTGGACGAGCTGCTGGAGCTCCACACGCAGCACCTCCTGCGCCTCCTGGAGAGGAAGAGGGAGAGCCAGCTGCAGGCGGGGGGCCACGGGGGGGGGAGAGCCATCCACCGGATAGGAGACCTCCTGCTGGGACAGGTGAGGGGGGGGGAGGGGCCTGAGAGAGGATACATGGAGATATGGGAAATTGGACAACCCAAAAAAAGTCTAGAATTCGAGAGTTCATACAGAAACATTAATAAGCTTTAAAAAACTCCAAATATCCTAAAAGTAGACTAACCCTGAATACTAAATGGTTCCGAAAACATAAAGATCCTTTACCGTCACACGATGAACCCGTTTAAAGATATTATACCTGTGGTTATGGTGCATATGTTATATTACAAGAGCATTACAACGAAACACTAGCATTAGAAACACACGAAGTGAGTAGGATGGGTTTGTACTTTGATTCATACTGAACTATTTCAACCACTTCGAGGAAGGTCATCAAAGAGGATGCATGGAGATATGGGAGGTTGGACAACTCAAATCTGAAACCTGGGAACAGGGGGTCGGACCCTAACAGAAAGTAGTATTCACACATTTAGAGTAAGAGAGTTCATACCCACGGAAACAAGTGAAATGTTGACTTTAATTAAATGTATTATCTCAATAAATGTCACATATCTGTATTAGGTTAGTCGAATGCAATCATCTTAAAGGTGGGGTAGGTAATTCACTTTAGAAAGACTTTTTGTTATATTCCATGGAATGCTCTTAACACCCGATAGCAATGAATACATTACAGGCTTTGACAATAAATACATAAAAAATGTCATCTGTGGAAGCCGTGGCGCTGTAAAAAGCACGACCAATCATCTGAGCCGGCTAAAGTAACTGGATGGCCTACCTGCCTGTCAGCCTTCCATCTGGGCACACACTTATCTCGTGCCCTCATTGGTCAAGTGCGCGTTTGTGTGTGTTGGAGGCGGGGCTCTGTAAGGAAGTCTGAAGGAAGGGACAGATTATTTCGGTTGTGTATTTTCAAATTCTAGCGCACTCAAGCTGCTTTCTCCATTCTTACCTCCCTACCTTTAAGCTGAACCTAATATCTTTTATTTAACATTAATATTATTGCAAGATGGAATATAAAGACTACATATTTGGTTATTATGCAAACAAAACAAAATGAACACTTAAATACATTAAATATTCACATACAAATCCTCAAATAAGAGAAAGATTTTACAGATTAGAGTACAATGTAAGTAAGTAGTAAATATGCCTACTTAATTACATGTTATCTTTTGATTGCGTGTTCTAACCTTAACTACCATTTTTTTTTTTATTTCAAATATTTCGTTTTTTCATGATAGTGCCCAACACGACCCCCTAACCCCTCACATTTCCCCCATCTCATTCAGCTTACTGTTTCTTTGCCCCTCTCTCACTGTTTAGTGTTTTCATGCCTGTGATATTCTGCTCCAGTTCTCAGGAAGCAACGGGGAGAGCATGAAGAGGGTTTACGGGCGATTCTGCAGCCGCCACAACGAAGCTGTGAACCTTTACAAAGAACTGCTGACCAAAGACAAACGCTTCAAAGCCTGCATAAAAGTGAGACCCCTCCTCTATCTGTGGTGTTTCTGTCTCATGAACTTAAAGGTCTCCTATTATACTGTTTTACATCAATATATCACAGGTCTCAGATATATCCAGAGCCTGTCTCTGATTGGCTGAAACACCAAACAAATCATTGCAGCATTACCCAGAATCCCCTCTGATTCCAAAGTGCTGATTCTCTGTCTGTTACTTTAGATGAAAATAAGGAGCCCCTCCCCACGCCCCTCTGAGAGACATTTGGTTACAAAGAACTCAATGGTGCTCTAGGAGGAGATTCAGGTGAAAAGGGGGGGGGGGGTTACCTTGGTTGCTGATTGGCTAATGGTTACACAAGACAACACATCGTTATGACATCATGAAGTGGCCAAAATCTGATCAGCTCATTTTCAGACAGGTTTTTATAGAAATGGATCAAAAAGAGAGAGAATCTTTGTTCCTGAAACTTTCAGAGTCTCTTTCCACAGAGGGGACACATGTTGATGTAGAAGAGACATGAAGAAGAGGGGACACATGTTGATGTAGAAGAGACATGAAGAAGAGGGGACACATGTTGATGTAGAAGAGACATGAAGAAGAGGGGACACATGTTGATGTAGAAGAGACATGAAGAAGAGGGGACACATGTTGATGTAGAAGAGACATGAAGAAGAGGGGACACATGTTGATGTAGAAGAGACATGAAGAAGAGGGGACACATGTTGATGTAGAAGAGACATGAAGAAGAGGGGACACATGTTGATGTAGAAGAGACATGAAGAAGAGGGGACACATGTTGATGTAGAAGAGACATGAAGAAGAGGGGACACATGGTGATGTAGAAGAGACATGAAGAAGAGGGGACACATGTTGATGTAGAAGAGACATGAAGAAGAGGGGACACATGTTGATGTAGAAGAGACATGAAGAAGAGGGGACACATGTTGATGTAGAAGAGACATGAAGAAGAGGAGACACATGTTGATGTAGAAGAGACATGAAGAAGAGGGGACACATGTTGATGTAGAAGAGACATGAAGAAGAGGGGACACATGTTGATGTAGAAGAGACATGAAGAAGAGGGGACACATGTTGATGTGGAAGAGACATGAAGAAGAGGGGACACATGTTGATGTAGAAGAGACATGAAGAAGAGGGGACACATGTTGATGTAGAAGAGACATGAAGAAGAGGGGACACATGTTGATGTAGAAGAGACATGAAGAAGAGGGGACACATGTTGATGTAGAAGAGACATGAAGAAGAGGGGACACATGTTGATGTAGAAGAGACATGAAGAAGAGGGGACACATGTTGATGTGGAAGAGACATGAAGAAGAAGAAGAGGGGACACATGTTGATGTAGAAGAGACATGAAGAAGAGGGGACACATGTTGATGTAGAAGAGACATGAAGAAGAGGGGACACATGTTGATGTAGAAGAGACATGAAGAAGAGGGGACACATGTTGATGTAGAAGAGACATGAAGAAGAGGGGACACATGTTGATGTAGAAGAGACATGAAGAAGAGGGGACACATGTTGATGTAGAAGAGACATGAAGAAGAGGGGACACATGTTGATGTAGAAGAGACATGAAGAAGAGGGGACACATGTTGATGTAGAAGAGACATGAAGAAGAGGGGACACATGTTGATGTAGAAGAGACATGAAGAAGAGGGGACACATGTTGATGTAGAAGAGACATGAAGAAGAGGGGACACAGGTTGATGTAGAAGAGACATGAAGAAGAGGAGACACATGTTGATGTAGAAGAGACATGAAGAAGAGGGGACACATGTTGATGTAGAAGAGACATGAAGAAGTGGGGACACATGTTGATGTAGAAGAGACATGAAGAAGAGGGGACACATGTTGATGTAGAAGAGACATGAAGAAGAGGGGACACATGTTGATGTAGAAGAGACATGAAGAAGAGGGGACACATGTTGATGTAGAAGAGACATGAAGAAGAGGGGACACATGTTGATGTAGAAGAGACATGAAGAAGAGGGGACACATGTTGATGTAGAAGAGACATGAAGAAGTGGGGACACATGTTGATGTAGAAGAGACATGAAGAAGAGGGGACACATGTTGATGTAGAAGAGACATGAAGAAGAGGGGACACATGTTGATGTAGAAGAGACATGAAGAAGAGGGGACACATGTTGATGTAGAAGAGACATGAAGAAGAGGGGACACATGTTGATGTAGAAGAGACATGAAGAAGAGGGGACACATGTTGATGTAGAAGAGACATGAAGAAGAGGGGACACATGCTGATGTTGACGGAGCTTCGTGTTCTGTCGTCCCTTTCTCTCTCTTTTTGCACATTTCAATCAGTGCTTGTATCTGTAGAAAAGCAGCCCTGCCCTCGAGCCTCCTTCCAGTAAACACTAGATGAGCTCCCCACAGCCTGCTGCGTGGGCATGTCTCACTAAAGCACTTGTTGTTTTTTTGAACAGAAAAAGATGAGTAGCAGCATTGTGCGGAGGCTTGGTATCCCAGAATGCATCCTGCTGGTGACCCAGAGGATAACGAAGTACCCGGTGCTGATTCAGAGGATGCTGCAGCACACGAGAGGTGAGCTTCCTGTTTACGTGATGATATGAATTATGCAAAGTGGAAGGAGGAAGCTGCTTTTAATTGGGTTGAAGTTTGCAGAATATTACACAAGTAACAAAGCAGCGTGTAGTTAGGAGAGTAGATAACTAAATTTAAAACGTATTATATTTCATTACAAATTCACATGTAGGAATATCACTAGTTGTTATCGTGTCTAAAAGTATTCTTTACTGGTGACTTTTAGGCCTTTCATTGACCTGTACTTCTCACACTGGTATCATCCTGCAAACTGCCTTATATGCAATACAAAACATGAATGCAGTATTAGGCCCCGGCCACACGAGGACGAAAACGGCTAAACGCATAGGATTAACGCAAACGCAATCGCAAACAAGCTTCCGTCCACACGCAATAGTCATCCGGATAGTGTCTGCCCACACGAGACCGCTCCGTTTAGCTCCAACCGCTGGAGAAGCTGCAGTACATATGCAGGAGCCTGTACGTGGCGCTGTAACTTCCTCCACAGAAGCAGCGAAGAAGCATGGTTGTCATGGTTGCCCTTCTGTTTATTCTCCGCGGTGGGGGCCGAGGGAACCGGGCAGAGTTTCTCGCCAGTCAACGTGTATTAAAGTTTAAATCTTCCGACAAAATTATAAAAGTGCCGGTCAAAGGTCTTCTTAGTTATTTATTGAGCTTTAAAACAAATGAATAATGACTCTATATAATATAATAATAAAATACACGGAGCCTCTCTTTTCCTCCCTCTCTTCGGACAGCGCCAGTGTCTGTCTCATGCAGCAGCTGATCCAGTAATGAGTGACCCGGCCGACAGTAAACATAATAAACATATTTCTAACTAGTTTAGGTAGTTTGAGAGGTAATTAAAATAGCTAAGGGTGATGATCGGACTTGAAGTGTGTGTTTTACTCCGTTCACCGCCGCATCACAGCGGGAGGAGCTGCAGGTGAGCAGAGCTGCGTGTCTCCGTCCTGTCAGATTAGACTTCACTCGCGTTTATGTCCATATCGAGAGAAAGATAAATAATCTGAATTCAGTGTGCAGTTTACTTTGACGCGGGGGTGAGCAGCAGAGGTGGGGAGAGGCGGGGCTATTGCCTCATCATTATCAGAAAATGATCGTAGAGGGCGTACACACGGAGCCGTTTGACCCCCCAGAGCGTTGCGTATGCCGTTCTATCCACCTTGGGACTCGTTATCGTTTACGCAGTCGTTTAGTGCCGTATTCGGTCGTCCTCGTGTGGCCTAACGGTCTATATGACACTAAACAGTAACGCAAACGACCGTTTTCGTCCTCGTGTGGCCGGGGCATTAATAATAGAGAGAAAAATGATTTAATGTCTTAAAGCAGTAAAGGGTAATCTCATGTTCAATCAGAAGCTGCATTCATTGACGACAGAATGACACACTCAAAGATCATTGCGTTGATTTGGAGAACAAACCACATCCAAACATTTCAGCAGGAACGTTTTTCTTTCCTGTACATTAATGATTGCTTTTCTATTCCTCTATTATCACGTTCATCTCGCAAACTTAGCTTAGCATGCTAACATATCTCCCATCAACGCTCGTCAGTTCCTCTGATCATGGTTACATTGAAACCCCCGTGCAGCCCCTGGTTACTCGTTCTAGGAAAGCTCCTGGAAAGCTGCATTCCTCACATAGTTTGACATATTTCGAGACGAATGAGACACATGTTGGACGGGTATTCCAACATAATAGCTGAAGCCGACTTTAAAATACTTCCCCGCGTGTTTTAATGTGATTTAAAGCAGATCTGGTCTGCTGGCCTCCCACTGTGTGCGACGCTCTAATCCTTCCCCCAAAGCCTGCTTATAGTTCTCTGTGGGATGGTGCAGCGCTGTGTTAATCCCCAAGGTGCTTTAAGGGTACTCCTCACAGTAGAAATAACACAACACACACACAGTGGAAATAACACAACACACACTCTGGAAATAACACAACATACACTCTGGAAATAACACAACACACACTCTGGAAATAACACCACACACACTCTGGAAATAACACCACACACACTCTCAGTGGGAGACGGTGTGTTAGTGCCTCGGAGCAATGAAGTACAACTAAAGGAGAAACATATTCCACTTTGGGGGGGGGGGCATGTTACCCAAACACATCAGACACACTTCTCAGGGTGCATGTCGTAATCCTTGGCTTCTCCTCTAATGTGAATAGTATGTTTTACATTTGCTGATTCGCCTCCATGTCTATCTTTTATCAATTACCACTAAATTAGACTGACCCTGTGTTACGAGCGCTTTGAGGCTAAATTAGTTACAAGACTTGTTTTAGATTATATTTGTATTATTATTATTTTTTACGATATTATTTTTAGAGTAATTTTTATTTGATTTTCCATTTTTATGAATTTTAAGTAATTGTTTATTTTTATTGTGTGTATTATTTTGTGAATCTCGGTTATTGTTTTTACTATTTTCATTATTACTTTTATTATTATTTTTAAAAGGTTTTTTATTCGGGAATGTTCTGCTTTAATTACAAATACGTGAAATACTTTTGATGATGCACTTCACTCATTATAAAGTCAAATGAAAGCTGATTATAGAGCGATGATGGGAAAAGGAAATAAAAGATCACATTTATTTAGTAAATTGAATATTTGGCTTTAAGTCCCACCTCAATGTCTCTCAGGTGTCAGGTTAAGATCTCACATAGACTTGTAGACCCTCCTCACAGTTCTCTAACGTCCCCCCCCCCTCTGTGACCCCCAGAGAGCGAGGAAGACCACGAGGACCTCTCTCTGGCGGTGCGCCTGGTGAAGGAAGTGATCGCGGCCGTGGACAGCAAGGTGAACGACCACGAGAAGAGAAAGCGTCTGAAGGACTTCCACGGCCGCATGGACAGCAAGTCCATCATGATGATGAAGAGCGGGCAGATCTTCGCCAGAGAGGACCTTCTGAGGCGGAGGCTGGTGCACGACGGGGGGCTGCAGCTGAAGAACGTCCAGGGGAGGCTGAAGGGTGAGGGGTGCACAACCGACTGTAGATGTCACATGACCGGGGAGAATTCTATTTCCATGATTTCTGTGTTTACACCATTTTCTGAGAGATGAAGCATAAAACACAACTCTCTGTTTTTACAAATGTATTTGAGTTTATCCTAATCTGTTTGTTCCAGATGTCCACGCTCTGCTGCTATCGGACGTCTTCGTCTTCCTCCAGGAGAAAGACCAGAAATACATCTTCTCCATGCTGGTACCTCCCTCACTCTCTTCATCCTCTCCTCCGTCTCCCCTCCACTGACACGTTATGAGAGTTTCCAGAGAGGCTGTTGTCATGTTTTCCTACCCCACTGTTTTTACTGTTAGCATTAGCTGCTTGGTTAGCGTACCCTCCAGCTATAGCTGCACCTCGTAAAGCCGCTCTGGCTCTCAGCTGCTAACCTAAGTGTGATCAATCATAAAGGTTTTGTTTTTACCATCGAGTTGACAGGACACACACACACACACACACACACACACACACACACACACACACACACACACACACACACACACACACACACACACACACACACACACACACACTCAGTAGGAGAATAAAAACAGAGGCAGGCCTGTGGCGTAATAATCACATCCATCTTTTTAAAACGTCTCGGTGTGTTTGAGTTTGTTGACATAGAAAAGAACCCGAAGGTCTGAAGGACGACAGCCGTGTGAACCAGGTTTGGTTTGGGGCAAAGAAGTAGCAGTGAGGTCAGAGGTCAGAAGCTGAATGTGGTTTACATGAGGCTCAGAATCCACTGCGTATCAGTGTGTGTTTAGTATGACAGATCAGTTCTCCCCTACCGAACAAAGAACATGAATCTCAGACAATTGGCTTTTCTGGGTTCCCTAACACACAATCTCAGACACACCTCCTGGGATTCATCACGCCCAACCTAAGTGGATCATAGCATATCAAGTATGTCACTAATCTGCGGATTCTTCGGCTAAAAATAAGATTGAACTTTTCTGTTTATGTCAGTTTGTTTTTTAAACAACTACAACTGCAAATGTGTGGCCTCCAAAGATACCAGGTAAGGCTTTAGACGATCAAAAGCTGGTGAAGCATTTTGTCAATCACTTGCAGCCCCTACTGGCTGGTTAGGAGGAGTTAAAGGTTTGCAAACTATGACTACTTTTGTTGTTGTTGTTGTTTTGAATCACTGCAACAGCAAGAGAATATTTGTGCATATATGTACATGCACTTATAAATGAACAAAACAATTATTATGATGAGTATTGCACCTGGATAGATGAGTCTAGTTAGTACTATACTGGTTGGTATGACCATGGACACACACACACACACACCACACACACACACACACACACACACACACACACACACACACACACCAGAGTTTCCGTTAGAATATTTTTCCGCCGGTCAACATGTCCGTTAAAGTTTAAATCTTCCGGACAAAATGAGAAAAGTGCCGGTCAAAGGTCTTCTTTGTTATTTATTGAGCTTTAAAACAAATTGATATGATTCGATATTAAACAAACTAATCATAGTAGATTAACTACATTATTCAAAAGTGTACAGTAACTTACAATAACAGGGGAATAATAAACGGAGCGCTCTCCCTCTCCTGACAGCCCGTCAGTATCATGCAGCTCGCGGATCAGTAATGAGTGACCCGACAGTAAAACTAAACATATCTATAACTAGTTACGGTAGTTTGAGAGGTCATTCAAATAGCTACGTGTGATATTCTAACCTGAAGTGTGTGTTGCTCCGCTCACCGCTGCATGTGATCATGCAGAGCTGCGTGTCGACTCGTCAGCAGCAGCTGATCTCTCTCTCCCGTCAGATTAGACTTCACTCGCGTTTATGTCCATATCGATCAGATCCAGCTAGTTCTAGCTAATGATGGGACTACCTGCTTATTAAAAGACACCTAAACAATAAGCGTCGCTATGCAACTGGGTGAGGCCGCAAAGTATAGCGCAGCATTATGCATTTGTTTACATGCCCACCGGAACCCCGAGGCATTACCAACAGATCAACGCACAATCAACCCATACAGGACATCTCTTTCTCCACATTAAGTGTTGGACATTAGAATTGACTATTCTTGTCTGTCACATAAATGGCGCAAGTTGCGCAACTGATGTGGTATTGCGCTAAACGGAAATTATTTTGAACGGACACTTTGACCGGAGAGATTTAGATTTGCCGGTCTTCAGCATATTTTACCGGTCGTAGTCCGGTAATTACCGGCTAACGGGAACTCTGACACACACACACACACACATACACACATACACACACGCACGCACACACGCAAACACACACACACACAGACAGACACACACGCATGCACGCACACACACATGCACAGACAGACACACACACACACACATAGACACACATGCACACACAACACACACACACACACACACACACACACACACACACACACACACACACACACACACACACACCACACACACACCCACACACACACACACACACACACACACACACACACACACACACACACACACACACACACACACACACACACACACTAGACTAAAGGCTTGGTTGCTTTAGAGAAGTCAGATATTGCTTTAAAACAGGAAAAACAAACACTTTAAAACGATGCATTTCAATGCTCTGGACTTTGACAGAATTGTCTCGGCAGAAAGGCGTGCTTACAAACTCTGACGGGATGAGGTCACAGGCTCAGTTCGATTGGATACAGCCGTAACGGAGCAGCGGTTTGCGGTGTTAGTAAACTCTGCTTCTTACAGTGTGTGCAGCTTTAAGGATGCACAGACCGATACCGAGATCTAGAACCCAAGGTCTCTCCTTTCCTACCACCCACCCCTCTTTCCTCCTCACTACATGTCATGATTGCATCCCCTTCATTTCCTCTCCTCCCATATTCACCCCTCCTCTCCCTCTCCATCCTCAACATGTGTCCGTCCTCTTGGACCCCTCCCACTTCTTCTTTCTCCCCCTCTCCCTCCACTGTTGTTGTCTCTCCATAACTCCCTCCTCTTCCTGCAGGACCAGCGCTCCACGGTGATCTCCCTCCAGAAGCTGATCGTGAGGGAAGTTGCTAACGAGGAGCGCGGCCTCTTCCTCATCACGGCGGGCATCGAGAAGCCGGAGATGATGGAGGTGCTGGCCGGATCCAAGGAGGAGCGAAACACCTGGATGCAGCTCATCCAGGAGGCCATGCAGTCCATGTGAGTGGCATCTATATACTTATTAAAACATGAAAGGTTATCTGCTTTCACTTCCATGATGAGATCACAGCTGCAGTCCTTTTTCGTGCACAAATGAGTGTTCAATCGCTCAAAATGTTATTTGTCATTCCTTTCATTCATTTGAACACAAATCAAGACATTTAAAGACACCACCTTGGATATTTGATTAGTTATTTATACACCAATGGATTTATTCATGAAATAATCTGCATATTATGTGATATTGAATTAATTAATCTTTATAGTCGTTTTTTTTGGTGCAAATATAATATGATTGCTGTTTTCAGCGTCTCAAACGTAAAATATATTTGAGTTTTGGATTGACATCAAGTTGGACATGTTTTCACTATTTTCTTACATTTTATACTTCAACCAATAACCATATATAAAATAATCTCAAGAGTGGTTGAATGAGAAAATGCCCAGAAACACAGTGACATTTGGCCTCTGCTTTAACCCGCCTAGTACCAGGAGTCTAGTGCTAGGAGCAGTGGGCAGCTATTGTACAGCGCCCAGGGAGCAATGGGGGTGGGGGGGGAAGGGGGGTGTCCGGTGCTTTGCTCAAGGGCACCACGGCAGGGCAGGAGGTGAACTGGGACCTCTCCAAGTAGCAGTCCACACTCCATATTTAGGTCTGGTCGGGGACTTGAACCGGCGACCCTACGGCTCCCAGTCCAAGCCCCTACGGACTGAGCCGCTGCCGGACATGTTGGATTTTGAGAAACTGGGATGGCAATGTTTCACTATCTACTGTCACTATAAATGAACGGTGAAACTGAAGCCCGGACCCATTTACTTCCATCTACTTCCTGTGCCTTCAGTATTGGCCTTTTAGGGTTCCTATATGAGTGTAACCCAGGAGTTAGACCCGTCCCGTGTCTGTAATGAACTGCTGTCAGGAGGATGATGGGATGTTCTCAGGGACGTTCTGACGCTGGAGAGCTCACTTTAAGGAGAGGATCAAACCACTTCAGCCCGGGAGGGGGGGGGGGATTTACCTCATAACAGTGAGACCACGCTACTCTCAGGAATAGATCAAAACTAATATTCTCCACCAAAATCCTGATCAGACATTTCCCTTTGAGTCTGTCTCCTCTTGTTGTTGTTGTTGTTGTTCTGCATATTGACAGGTTGTTGATTAATTGTATTCATCATTTCTAAAATATTTGTGTTTCTCTCTACACCTGACCGTCCAAACAACGACTTCATCATTTGAAATGATACAATAGCACAATATCTTTCCTTCTCTCTTCTTATTGTCTCTTTCCCTCCTTCTCTCTTTTTATTTTTCATTCATTTCTTCATTATGTGTAAGTATAACTTGTGCTTGTTGTGAATACTTTACTACTTTTATAAATATCTGTTTTTGGTATCCACTGTGACAAATGAAAACATATTATAAATCAAATAACATTTTACATTAATTTAGAGAAAATATATATTAATGTAATAATAAAATAAATAACTAATCTTGTAAAATATTGACTTTTCAGACTTTTAATTTCATCGTTACTTTAGATTTATTCATAGATGTTGCAATTTCTTCTTATTTTACATTTAATTGTAATTTGTTTATCATTTTTAATATATATTGTTAGTTTGCCACCTCAGTTGATTTCAGAATGTCCTTAACATCTTAACTTAAATAAATGTGAGTTCCCACGGTTTAGATGGAGCCCGGGGTCTCCTGCCTCTTTCTGCACGGTGTATCTGTTTTTGTGCATAAACATTAAAGACATAAACACAAGTGTACTTTGAGGTGCTGCAGATCCTGTATGAGTACATATACGTTGTTTTGTAATATAACGTTGTAATGCCCGGTGTTTTGTTACCTTGCTCGCTCAGGGAGAAGGACGAGGACGAAGGGATTCCCAGCGAGACCGAAGACGACAAGAGACAACAGGAGACAAAAAACAAGGAGATGAGAGGTGAGACGAGTGTTTCTGAGGAAGGGTTTACGTTCACTACCAAGGTGGGAAGTAGTGGAGTACAAATACTTTGTTACTGTACTGAAGTACATGTTTTTGGTATCAGTACTTTACTCCACTACGACTTTTTCTGAAGACTTTTTACTTTTACTTCTTACATGTTGAACTCAAATACATGTACTTTCTACTTCTTACATGTTGAACACAAATACCTGTACTTTCTACTTCTTACATGTTGAACACAAATACCTGTACTTTCTACTTCTTACATGTTGAACCCAAATACCTGTACTTTCTACTTCTTACATGTTGAACTCAAATACCTGTACTTTCTACTTCTTAAATGTTGAACCCAAATACCTGTACTTTCTACTTCTTACATGTTGAACTCAAATACTTGTACTTTCTACTTCTCACATGTTGAACTCAAATACCTGTACTTTCTACTTCTTACATGTTGAACTCAAATACCTGTACTTTCTACTTCTCACATGTTGAACACAAATACCTGTACTTTCTACTTCTTACATGTTGAACTCAAATACCTGTACTTTCTACTTCTCACATGTTGAACTCAAATACCTGTACTTTCTACTTCTTACATGTTGAACTCAAATAACTGTACTTTCTACTTCTCACATGTTGAACACAAATACCTGTACTTTCTACTTCTTACATGTTGAACTCAAATACCTGTACTTTCTACTTCTCACATGTTGAACACAAATACCTGTACTTTCTACTTCTTACATGTTGAACACAAATACCTGTACTTTCTACTTCTCACATGTTGAACTCAAATACCTGTACTTTCTACTTCTCACATGTTGAACTCAAATACCTGTACTTTCTACTTCTCACATGTTGAACACAAATACCTGTACTTTCTACTTCTTACATGTTGAACCCAAATACCTGTACTTTCTACTTCTTACATGTTGAACCCAAATACCTGTACTTTCTACTTCTTACATGTTGAACTCAAATACCTGTACTTTCTACTTCTTACATGTTGAACACAAATACCTGAACTTTCTACTTCTTACATGTTGAACCCAAATACCTGTACTTTCTACTTCTTACATGTTGAACTCAAATACCTGTACTTTCTACTTCTTACATGTTGAACCCAAATACCTGTACTTTCTACTTCTTACATGTTGAACTCAAATACTTGTACTTTCTACTTCTCACATGTTGAACTCAAATACCTGTACTTTCTACTTCTTACATGTTGAACTCAAATACCTGTACTTTCTACTTCTTACATTTTGAACTCAAATACCTGTACTTTCTACTTCTTACATGTTGAACACAAATACCTGTACTTTCTACTTCTTACATGTTGAACTCAAATACCTGTACTTTCTACTTCTTACATGTTGAACTCAAATACTTGTACTTTCTACTTCTTACATTTTGAACTCAAATACCTGTACTTTCTACTTCTTACATGTTGAACACAAATACCTGTACTTTCTACTTCTTACATGTTGAACCCAAATACCTGTACTTTCTACTTCTTACATGTTGAACCCAAATACCTGTACTTTCTACTTCTTACATGTTGAACTCAAATACCTGTACTTTCTACTTCTTACATGTTGAACACAAATACCTGTACTTTCTACTTCTTACATTTTGAACACAAATACCTGTACTTTCTACTTCTTACATTTTGAACTCAAATACCTGTACTTTCTACTTCTTACATGTTGAACTCAAATACCTGTACTTTCTACTTCTCACATGTTGAACACAAATACCTGTACTTTCTACTTCTTACATGTTGAACTCAAATACCTGTACTTTCTACTTCTTACATGTTGAACTCAAATACCTGTACTTTCTACTTCTTACATGTTGAACTCAAATACCTGTACTTTCTACTTCTTACATGTTGAACACAAATACCTGTACTTTCTACTTCTTACATGTTGAACACAAATACCTGTACTTTCTACTTCTTACATGTTGAACACAAATACCTGTACTTTCTACTTCTTACATGTTGAACACAAATACCTGTACTTTCTACTTCTTACATGTTGAACTCAAATACCTGTACTTTCTACTTCTTACATGTTGAACACAAATACCTGTACTTTCTACTTCTTACATGTTGAACTCAAATACCTGTACTTTCTACTTCTTACATGTTGAACTCAAATACTTGTACTTTCTACTTCTCACATTTTCCAAACAGCTGGTTCCTTTAGTCTGAATGTGTGTTTGGTGCGTGATCATTATTCTTTAGAGTCATTGCGTGCCTATTGATTTGAACACGATCCGTGTATCCATCATTTCCTGGTCTTCTCTAAAGAAGAGGGACCAATGGAAACGTTGTCATGTTGCCGTTGTTCAGCATGGAAACATTCATTAGCTAACAATGACATTATTGTTCTATTAATATAAAGGGAGGTCAGGTACTCTTTAAAGCAGCTGCTAGTTATGGGTACTTTCTACTGAAGTACATTTCAAAGCCTCTTTACTTTGACTTGAGTAAAGAAGTTTAGTCAGTACTTCTACTTTCACCAGAGTATTTTTAAACACAAGTATCTGTTACT